GGCCGAGCTGCCCCTGCCACTCTGTTTTCCTCCACCATCTCCTATTTTGCTGTCATTTGCTCTCAGATGTCACCATCAAGCTGTATCTCTGCCATCCCTCAGGAGTGGGTATTATCCAGCATCTGGATGGGAATTACAAACTCAGGCTGCTTCAAAAATCCCGCCAGCCACATTTTTTCCAAGGCAACGAGTAACTGCAGCCCCTGCTGAAGTCCAGAGGACTGGAAATCAGGCCAAAACTCGCTCATCAGCATAAGGCTGGATGAGTTTGGCATTAGCCTCGTTTCACAGATGGAGAACAGCCACCGAGAGGGAAAGGTTGAGACTCGTGGGTGTGAAAGGCTGGAATAAGGCACCTAAATACGCAGTGAACGGCCTTAAATTAAGAAGCCTGATTTGCACAAGAGACAAACACACGGGAGCTCCAAGGGTTCCAGTTGGAGCCTGCAGACTCGGGCACCCTCATGGAAATTTCCCCACCGGTGGCTCAGGTGAGCATGCACAGGTTGGCCCTGCTGCTCATGCCTCCTGTTGCTTCCCAAGTGCCGCCTGTGGAATGCAAAGCTGGTGCTCTCAGACGCTCTCGGGATGTACCAACGCGACATGGAGCCAGTTTGGAGGTACAAGTCCTGCCACTGCCTCCAGTTCTGTATCTCTCAAGCTTGTTTCCCGCTTTCCCATCAAGGATGTTAAGACCAGGGACACTTAATGAAGACTCATCTGAGCACGGATTTGTTTCTACCTACTTCGGAGTCCATAGGAACATCTCCATGCCCAAGACCCAAAGGTAGTGATTATTTTCTGATCTCTGTTCGCTTCTCTCTCTGGGTCTCTCGCAGTACTCAGCAGAGATGGAAGCTAAGCCTGAAGCTGGGGTGTCTCTGCTCTACCAGACACAGCACAGGGAGACACTGCTCCTGCTGGGCCCCCGGGAGCAGGAGCAGCACGACAGACAGCGCTGAACTCCCCGTGGAAGCAGAGCAGCGGGACCAAACGACTCGGAGCAGGCTGAGTACTACATCCCTCGGAAACCGCAGGGAGAATTTGGGCAAGCAGATTGCAATTACCTGGCCTGGCACGGGCCCAGAGCGGCAGCTCTCGCTCCTGTCCAAACCCAGCTCCTCGCAAAAGCGACCCTGGAGCGGCGGCCGGGATCTCACCGCCGTGCCCTTGGTGAAAGACACACCTCGGTGTCGCCAGCGCTGTGTCCTGGTGCTGCTCCCACCCTTTTCCAAGGCATGAACGTCACACCAAGCGCTGCCCATGCTGCCACCTCACAACTCCTGTCCCAGAAGAGCAGTGGCCAAGCTCTGTCCTGTCATTGGGGGGAAGCTCTGCCACTGTCCCTGTGGGGACAATGCTGTCACACACCCTAAGACGTGGCTCCGAGAAAGGGAAGCAGGTTTAATTATCGAGACCATTCTGCTTCCCAAAGGGAATGCACACAGGTGAGTCGGGCAACTCAGAGCAGGTGGGGATTGGTGGAATCGGGGCTACCAGAAAAGGATGGGAGCATGCAGCAAAACCACACTGGGGGCTCCTATGGAGACCCAACCACGACTCACATTTGGGAGAGGTGGCACCGTGCGGAGCTTGGTCCCACTGGTGCTGGGGGAGGCAACCAACCTATCCACTTTTGGAATATGGAGAGTGCCCCAGGGCTGGGGATGGTCAGTGACACTGGGGGGAATCCCAAAGGGGGAACACCAAAGGGGGAGGCACATCCCA